GGTTTGAAGGCTGCTCCATGGTGCCCTCCATCTATCCTCTGGAGACGCTGCACAACTCGCTCTCTCTGAAGCAGGTCGACGAGTTCCTCAACACGGTGTGTGCGAGCAGCAGCGAGGCGCACGCCAAGACCATGAGAGGTAGGCCCGCACAATCACAATACTTAAAGAGACCCTATTGAGGGTGTTTCCCTTTCCTGTAGTGTGTTCAATAGGTTTTAGTGCATGTAAATGGTCATCAAACTATTTTCAAATCCAGAAAACTCCAAATGAATTATAGGTAAAGGTGTGTTTTAGATCTAGTTGCTTGTCACTGGGGTCAAATTCCCTTTGCACATGCTTCAGTGTTGTAGCTCTCATAGGTTCACCTTTTTATCCGGTTTGAAGTCACATTTTACAATACACTTAAGATAAGGTAAGATAAGATAAGATGGTACTTTATTGATACCAATTTGGGAAATTGTTTTTGTTGCAGCAGCATAAAAGACAAGGCATTTTACAATAAAACAAATAAACAAGAATAGAAAGAAATAAAAGAAAATAGAAAATATACATGTAGATATTATATATACTTAATAGATATTGGTCATTGTTACCACAAACATTAACATACATAAATAAAGGATTTAAGGATCTTAACAAAGAAATAACCTGAGCAATAGTAGCGGTTAGCTCTCAGGCTCTTCTTGAATCCGCCAAACTGCTTCAAACTGCTTTATTGTCAATCTCAAAATATGTTTGTACACACAGAAAGATCAAAATACTGTTTCCCACAGTCCCGAGGTATAAAAAAACACACATTAAAATGCAAGAACACTCAATAATTACAAAAAAACACAAAAAAACTGTATACTTTATTTAGTTATTTTTTTTAAAGGGGACATCTGTGAATAGTTCGGCACTCATAATACAAAATAAAGTCCAGACCCAAGGTAAAATACCCAAAACACAGAAAGGATTGATAAACAGCATCATACGTTTCTTTGGCTCTTATGTTCATTTAATTTCAAACCTTTATTTAACGAGATTGGTCCCTTGAGATCATAGATATCTTTTTCAAGGGAGACCTGCAGCATATAGGTTCCACATGAAACATAAAACAATAAAGGACATTATACATTATATTTACAGGATACATTTACATAGTTATAGACATTTACAAGTGCCCATAGTATCAACGAGCATTTCATTTAGCCTAGCTTTAAAAACATGCAGAGGAATGAGATTGCTCAGTTTCAATTCTTGCTGAAGATTGTTCCAAGCAAGTGGAGCTGCGCACATAAAAGCTGTCTTACCTAAGACAGTCCTTGCTCTTGGCACATCTAACAATACAACATCATGCGATCTCAGACAATAGCTGCTTGCAACTCTCTGTGTTATCAGAGAGCAGATATAATACGGGAGTTTACCCAACAAAGCTTTATAAATAAACGTGTAGGTTATGTTTGAGTCCGTGATTGGAAAGCATTTTTCACACATTATTAAATATAATGACTATTTGAGTTTAAATAACCCTCTGTAATTAATATCTGTCCACTAAACTCGGCTGTCTGTGTGCAACAATCATTTCAATTCAAAACATGTCAATCTGGAGTTCAGCCAATGTGCACAACTCAGAAAACGTTATAACGCTGTGGTTCTGTTAAATAAAATGAATTTTCAGCTGATATTTCCAAACTGACCTTAATGTTTCCTTCTCGTCTCAGCGCTCTCCTGCCTGTTTGACTCTCAGAGCCAGACGTCTCTCTACAGCCCTCAGCCGGCGCTCTCCTCCTCCGGGTCGGAGACGTCTCTGCGCCCGCCGAGCCAGCCGCTGTGGCGTGAGTGCTTCATCTTTTAATGGCATTATGCAACACGTAGAGCCACCTTCATCTCCTCTGGTAGGAGCGTTAGGAAACATACGAGCCAAATCTCACTGTTGCTTCAATGAAAGTTAAATACTGTGGCTGCTGGAAGTATTTGGATATATACTGTACACAGTGTTATGGGGTTTGTCAATTGTATTTTAAATTCACTTTTCAGTCCATACATACATTATGGAACAGAAAAACAGCTGCTACAGTGGATCAATTACAATAAGGAGAAAGAAAATAGGTCTTTTAAATAGGCGAACAAATCAGAGAGAGGGATTTGTTGTAAAATACTACATGTTAACATTATTTGGAAGAACACTGGTTGTAATGGCTGGTAACATCTAAAGGTACCTTTTAATAAACACTTTGTATTGTAAAAAGTAAAGTTGTGTCCTTATTTATGAAACCCAAAAAGGACTGTCTGCATGAAGTTCTCCATGGCAACAAAGATGAAGCAGCGAAGGGGTGACGTTGGTGCTTTTCTGTTTTTGTTCCTGATCTCTCCTCCCGTCTTTGTTCACTTCCTGTCCGTCCACATGACGCACACTCCGGAAGAAACACACCCAGACCCTCTGAGTGGAGTGAGGACAAGAAGAGAGACAAATACCACCATCAGAGAAGCTAACTGATGCTAACTGATGCTAACTGATGCTCATTTTCAACAAGATAAATCTGAAAAACAGTGATTTAGGTATTGAATACAAAGTACGATTGGGCTTATCAGTGATTGCTCACTGTTATTGTTTCATTAGTATTACATTTTCTTAGAATACATGTTACCAGATGTCTTCATCTAGCTTGTTTTGTCTGATCCAACAGCGCAAAAACAACCACGGTGTTTAAATGAATATTAAAGGTGGGGTAGGTAATACACTTCAGAAACACTTGTTATATTCCATGGCATGCTCTTAACATCCCGATAGCAATGAATACATGAAATGCTTTGACAATAAATAAATACATTAAAAAAATTAATCCCTGGAAGCCGTAGCGCTGTAAAAAGCACGACCAATCATCTGAGCCGGCCCGGCTAAAGTAACTGGATGGCCTACCTGCCTGTCTGCCTTCCATCTGTGCACAAACTTATCTCGTGCCCTCATTGGTCATGTGCGCGTTCGTGTGTGTTGGAGGAGGGGCTCTGTGAGGAAGTCTGAAGGAAGGGGAAGATTTTTTTCGGCTTCGTACTTTCAGATTCTAGCGCACTCGAGCTGGTTTCTCCATTCTTACCTACCCTACCTTTAAGAGTTAAAAAAAAGAGTCAAGAGTGAACTTAAAGTAATTTGTTTTGGTTTGAATCAAACAAATAGGAAATAACATTTCAATTATTGAGCTTTTAAGTTGTTTAGGGGTGGATTTTGTTTCCCAAATAAACAAAATGGCAGCCTTATAATTACCTGAAATACAAAAAAACATATATCTGACACGTTTATCATTTTGACGAGTCAGTGATCATACACTGTTTTTGTTTTATTTGTATTAATGTTTTTTTTGTAACATTTTCCAGGTGTCTTCATCTGGCAGGGTTTTGTCTGATCAAGCAGCAAAAAACAAGCAAGATTTTATAATTACTTTAAAATTGAAGAGTGAACTTTTTAATGGCTGATTCATTGGAAAATATGTTTCTGTTTTCAGGGTGGGACCAGAGCAGTTTGTGCGATCTGTACCTGCATTACAATCAGTGTTTTTAGACTACAAAGATAGGTGACTGAATGATGTGTTTTTTGTGTTGTAAAGATGGCAGTATCCCCTCCAGTGCTGTTTCCAGCGCCGGCCCCTCCTCCCCGAACACAGAGAACCCTGGCGCCAACTTCGGCTTCAGTGAGTGAACTCTTTAAAAGAAAAGCACAAGGACTTCTGGGAATTTAAGGACACAATCTGAGGACCTCGGTTTCTACGTCACTGTGTGTTTTCATACGTCTTTTCCTCCGTCCTGCTGCTTTGAATTCACACCAAAACCCCACTGGGGTAAAAACACTCAAACTATGCACGGACTCTTCAGATGCACTCCTAGAAACTCTGGACTTTAAACTTGTAGTATTACCTCGATCCTCCTCCCTTTGTCGACACACACACATGAAACCAGCTCCAGCAGAGCATCAAGCCAACTCTATGACCAGCCGTGCCTTCAGTGTAATTTGGATGCTGCCGTCGCTGAAACAACAACAACAAGAACACATGTTTTTGTTTTTAAGCCCAAATGCTGACGGTGTATTTTTCCAAATCTCTCTCACACACCAGCTGCCTCTCCTCTGACCTCAGACTACAGAAATGCATTTCAGATTCTGAGACAAAGTGTCAGCAATCACTCATTTGCATTTGAGATTCATGTTGTGCTGCAGCCAATCACAGCCCACCCTGAAAAAAACAGCCTATTTTTGAAATTCAAGTGACATTTTGTGTAATTTTACTTTTAGCAGTTAGTTAAATCTTATAATGTTGGTTGTAAAATATAAATTACATTTATCAGTTTCATTTGGAGCCACAGCCCGTTAGCTTAGCACAAAGCTACTAAAACTACAATGCCTGTTAACACATATCTCCTTTCATTTGTACGGTAAGTGTAAAAACAACTATTTTAGGAGCCAGACTATTTCGTGGCTGGGTGCACTATCGTTCAGGTTTAAGTGAAACACATAAGAAATCACTTTTTAATTATTGAGCTTTAAAGTTCTTTAAATCGGATTTTTCGTTACCAAATGAATGAAATGGCCGCCTAAGAATGGCCTCCTCTGACACGTTAATCATTTCAGAGATTAACTCAAATTATAGTCAATAATCTGGATTATATCTAAATGCTCTGTACCACCAAGTTACCATCTGACTCTTTTAGTTAAATTCTTTCAAACTAAACAACATTTGAGTTGTTTTTTAAAACCCGAGTGTTTGTATCGTGTAACTCGAGCCGCTGAATCAAACCGCTGTTAAATAGAAACACATTTCATCTGTAAATGTGCCTTTACATTAATGTTTTAAAGAGATTTGTTGTAGACATTGTTTATTTCCGGCTGTATTTTCTTATCTAAAAGGGACTTATAGGAAAATGTGGTGTAGCTTTATTTCAGATTTTAGGGAAAGAACCACTTCAATAGTATAAAAACTATTAGTTATTATCTGCTGTCACACCAAATGATATGTGTATTACTATTTGTTTAGGCTTTAATGAGTGATACTCAGGTAGAAATGTTAATCAGCTTTAAACTTACATTCAACTCAAAGAAAACGTGTATTACTTTAAATAACCTTTATTAACGTAGTTCTCTATGTTCAAAGAGTGCAAACATGTATACAGAAATGTCTATATATATATATATATATATATATATATATATATATATATATATGACTCCCAAGTCCTGGAAACCTCTGCTGTTGATTTTAGTTATAGATTTTATTAGGATTTTTTAATTCCAGATTGTTGCTGTACGTATTTTCCGTTGTGTACTTCTGTGATTATTTAAAGTGTTATTTAATGTCAGCCAAAGTTTCTCTGTTTGGCTGCTGGACAACAAAGTGGACTTTATTCTTTGTAAACATGTTAAATAATTTTGTTGACCTTTAGATGTTCAGGTCGGGTTGAACTGATGGAAAGAGGAAGAGGAGGATGTAATAAAAAAAAACATAATTAAACTGTGTCCTCTTTCTGTTGTATCTCCTGTCTATGTTAGTTTTCCTCTCTTCATTTCCTCTCTACTTTGTTTTCTCTACCTTCCTCATGACCTCTCCTTGTTTTTCCATTCTCCTCTGTCTCCTCTCCTTGTCTCCTCTTTTTATTTCCTTCCCTGTACTCTTGTCTCCTCTCCTTGTCATTTCTTCTTGTTTTCTCCCCTCTCCTGTGTTTGGCTGCATCTCACTTCGGTTAAATGGAGTCCTTGCGTCCCTCACTTGCGTTGTTTCCCTGCGACTAGTCCCTCCCACCAGGGAAGCATGGAGAGACGCAAGGAAACCACGAGAAGCAGGGAAATGAGTTTTAAGAGCAATGGGACGTAGTTTCCTCCGGAGCGTCACGTGAAGCGACGTCCGTTTGTGATGACACAGCTGATCGTCTGACAGCAGCCAGATCAGTGCATGCGCTGCATCGTCCAATCAGTGAGCGATACACACAAGGGGGCGGGCGAGTGTCTGAGGATTTCACCGGAGGATGGTCCGGTAGCTCCTCCGTTATCGATCCTCGATCCTCCGGCACAAATAAGGCCACTGGGACGCTACTCAAGATGGCGCAGACAAATCAACTTCCGGTGATACCGAGCCCGAGGAGCGAGGAAATTAAAAATAACCGAAGTGAGACGCAGCCATGGTGTCCTCCACTACCCTCTTCTATCCTTGCCTACCCTCCTTGTCCCTTCATTTGTTTCCTTGCCTCTCCTTGGTTGCTTCCCTTTACTTCACCTTTTCATCGCTTGATGTTTCCTCTCTTGTCCTTGCACCTTTCCTTGTTTTCTCCCCTCTCCTCCTTTCCTTGTCTGTTATTGTTTCTTCTCCTTGTCACTTCTTCGTGTTTCCTCTCCTTCCCTCTTTCTGTCCTTCCCTCAACTCTGCTCTTTGTGTCTTCTCTCCTTGTTTCCTCCCCTTCCTCTCATTTTCTATTCCCTCTATTATCCTCGTCTTCTCTCCTTCTCTCCTCTTTTTGTGTCCTCTCCTCACCTTTACTCTTCTTGTTTGCTCTCCTTATTTCCTTTCCTTATCTCCTGCTATCTTCCCCTTGTTTTCATTCTTCTTCTTCTCTTCTCCTCCTTAATCTTCACCCACACTGTTTTTCTCCCTTGTTCACATTAGTTGCGTCTCTTCTCTCCCCTTCTGTCTTTCTTCCCTTCTTCTCTCGTCTTTGTACCTCACCCACTCATCGTCCCTTGTCCTCTCTCTCTCTCTCTCTGTCTCTCTATCTCTCTCTCTCTGTCTGTCACCCTCCTCTCCAAACAGCTTTTAAGTGATGAATCATGCATACTCCTGTTGCTTCTCATACGTTGCCATGGTGACGCCCCCAGATGTAATTATGCAATTGACACCTCGTCCTCATGGGAGATAGACGAAGAGGGGAGAGAGAGAGACAGAGAGAGACCACCAACTCACAGGAAGCCAACAGCTGATGTCATTTAATCTGTCTGGATGTCCCTCTCTCAGGCTTTATTTCCCACACACACACACACACACACACACACACACACACACACACACACACACACACACACACACACACACACACACACACACACAGTCGTCTCTCTTGCTCTAACACACACTCCCCAGCAGCTACTTTCCTCTTCACATATTGAGCGCTGTTTGGCAGTCGGTTGTTTGGTGACCTTTCTCAGGTTGTACTCCAGAAAAAGCAATCATTAAAGCATTCGGCTGCAAAAGTGTTTATTTTATTTCAGTGAAACACGTCAGCAGAGGTCTCTCAGGTTGAAGACCCTCTGCATGGCCTTTTTCATGGGAATTGTATTTAAGAAATGACAACGGTCAAGATATTGTGCAGGGACAAATGAAAATGTCAGCATTTAGTTTGAGTTCGATACACTTTAAAGTGTGATTCTGAAGTGTCTGCGTTTTAAAACCAAACTTCCAGAAGTCCAAAGGAAAGAAGACGGAGAGGAGCCTCAGAAAACAATATACTGTATATCTCAACATTATGGCTTTTCTTCATGATGGTTTCAACATACTAAACCATGGCATTTTTCCATGATATTATTCACAAGGACTTTTAAAAATATATTCTTTGACTTACCATGTTATTACTTTTTTCATGATGTATTCAACATACTATTGTATGACTGTTTTGACAAATAATTACTTTTTTAAACATACTTTTACCATGATTTCTTCTGCATGCTCAACAATGACTTTTTCATGATCTTTTTTAACATCTAATATTATATATTTTTTCAGCTTATTAGTTATTTTTTCGGGATACTATATCACTTTATTTTCCTTTTTTTGTACATACTATACTCTGACTTTTTTCCATGATTTCTTTCGACATGATTTAGTATGCTTTTGTTTTCAACATACTGTACTACGAATTTTCACTTAATGGGGCGAAGCCTGCGAGCTAGTTCAGGCAGTCAACTCGAGCACTTATGCTGCATTCATAACGCCCCTTGCCACTCTACAACCAACCAAACAGAGTCTCCTTAATAAGCCGCTCTATTGAACCTGCCAGATCTCTCTCCATGCATCGCTTACTGCTGCTATTGCCGCAGCAGCTACTTCCACGTCGTTTTTTTCTGATGACGTCTTTTTTCAGCTTATTAGTTATTTTTTCGAGATACTATACTATAACTTTATTTCCCTTTTTTTGGACATACTATAATATAACTTTTTTTCCATGATTTCTTTCGACATAATTTAGACTACGAACTTTCACTTACTGACTTTTTTCATTATAATTTTAACATACTTAATTTGGATTTTTGTCCTGATATTGTCGACATACATACTCTTACTTTTTCTCATATGGTGAAGTGAAAGCATCTCAAACAGACGGAGGTTTTAAAATATTTGCCCACCTGCTCTTAAAAGAAACCCATCAGGTATTTGAATGTCTTTGTGACAGAATGCTGTAGGAGGTCAGCGTGTCCCGGCTTCACTCCCACAGGTCAGTGACTCAGCTTTTACTCCCAGGCTAATTGCCACATAAAGAGAGAAGTGGGCGGACGACAGGAAGGAGAACGAGAATGCACACACACACACACACACACACAACCCTCCTTTGAAATCAAAATGCATTGTCATGGTTACCTGGAGGCCAGCAGTAATGTGTGTATCGTTACAACCTGCAGATAACAGATTCATTTCAACAGGAGTGAAAACCAGGCCACAGTTCTTCCTCTGTTTCACTTCTCCTTTGTTATTCCCCTGTATTAGATCAACCATAATTAATTAAATGATTAGGATCAGGATACTTTTTTTTTATCCCAGGGGAAATTAGGTTTTGTGACAGCGACACTATTTTAGAATGACATCAAATGAAATGTATGTAAGAAAAATAGAATACAAATATGTATATACATGTACGATGTTGAATAAAAAATGACCAATAAAGAACAAATAAGATGGATAAGAAATATTTACTTAAACATAATGGAATAGAACACAAATATTTAATTTAATTAATTAGATATCTTTGTAAAATGTAATTTGATTCAAATAAATTAAATCTGATCAAATGTACTGTATTGATTGAGTGGCATTGCACATGAGTTGAACAAATAAATAGATAAAACAATAGAGTACAGAGCATAAAATATAAAGAATAACTTACAATGCAACAGACTAGTAATACAATATAAACATAGCATGCTATAGACATAATACACGTGTTCAAAATGTACATTTACTGTAAATGCACTAAGGTACAGTAGGGTGTGTGTAAACTATGTGCAGGTTGTTCAGGGTTATTCCAAAAACTAAGAGTGGAGTCTGGTAAAAACGATGAAGCTTGTTCCTACGTGTGTTTGACTTGTGGGGATAGATCATAGATGAAATGTGAGACGTGATAAATCAGTGGTTCCTCGGTGTGTAACGGGTCAGAGGAGGAGGAGGAGCTTCAGGTGGAGATCCTTCAGGGTTGATTTTGCAGAACACATCGATGTTCCATCCCGCTCCCTTTCCTCTGGGAGAACATGTATTGAGTTTTTTATGTACCTCGTTGCTCAGTCATCTGTCAACATCAACAAGAAAACTAAGTTATTTTGACAAGTCGAGTGTGAGGAGTGAGCGGTGCTGCTGGAGGATTTCCACGTGACAAATCAAATGATCCAGACCTGTGTCTCTCAAACTGAGGCCAGAAACTCATTACTTCATACTTCATTTATAAATTACGCCGAACTAAATGTACTTACAGAAACCCATTAAGGTGTATTTCTTAACTTATAGCAACTGCTATGTCATATTTTGTGACAGATCAGTCTAAAATACATTACATTACATGTCACTTGTTAGACGCTTTTATCCAAAGCAACTTCAATACTGTGGATACTCGCCACAGGAGCCATTTGGGGTGAAGTGTCTTGCCCAGGGACACAACGACATGCTGACTGCAGTGGGGTTTGAACCTGTGCTCCCCTGATCCGAACACCAACGCGCTAGGCCACTGCGCCACACGCCTCCCGAGGTACGTTTTTAAAATGTAGGGAAAAACTGCTTTACTACTTTATGTATGTACTTTTTTGGTTTTTTGTTTCAGGGTCAAACACAGCAACACAATATTAGGGAGACACTTTTATTTTTAATGACTTTTGTTTTTGTTGTTTTTGACAGTTCTTAATTTTTCCAGGACTCAAGTTAAAGTGAAGTTGGTCGAGTTAACGTCCCATATTTGATGACATAGGACTCGACTTAAATAAAAAAAGACTTGCAGCTTAACTCGGACTCCAATAATCAATGACTCAGGACTTCACTTTGAGCTCATTCATCTGGATAGAAACATATTTGAAATACTAGATTAGAAATAAAAGAATGTTTTTTAAAAGGTTTACCACAAATCCAATTATTTTCCCTTTTATTCCTTAAGGCTGTTCATCCCCAGCACTTTGTTTGATTCAACATTATCTACAAGTGGCAGGACAGAAAGGTTTAGAAATAATGTAATGTGATTGTATAAAGATACCACAAATCATTTAATTTGCATAGAAAACTAAATTATTTGCACACAAAAAGAAATGAAAGAATGCAAAATGAGAAAGTTTAAATTGGTGTAAACTGCTTGTAAGGGAAACTTCTGTGTAGCAATGCAGTGGGAGTCACCGACTCAGGAAGGAGACACGGTAGAGCAGGAGCTTTGATGTCAAACACTGATGATTTATTTGGAGTTACGGCCGGAGAGTTCACATCACAAGTCAATCACGGGTGGATTGCCACGTCAATTCTGGAGGGCTCTCTCTCGTTAGCCCAATTAAGTGGTTTCACAGAGTAATCAACATATTTTGATAAGATAGTTTAAACAGTTGGGCACACTGAGTTACTTGCGTCCGTCACTTATGGCCTCGAAGATGTCATACCTTGGAGTCCACAAACAACAAAGAAGGAAGTGTCCCAGTGCACCCACAACAATAAACCATCTATGACCTAGTGTTGCCCGGTCACAGAATGGGAACAATAACATTATGGCTGAAGCAGCCTATGTCCTTAAAGGAGATAAACAGACGTCAGGGTTGGTCATGTACGTCATATCTAGGAGTCTAGGTCAATTATTTCCCTAACACTGCTAAATGACTTGAGTGCAAACATTTAAGACATACTTGCCACTTGCATAACAAGACTTGTTTCCACATCTGTACAGTATGTCCAATGACCGTGTTAGCACGCAACATGTTAGCGCTTTAAAAGCACTGCCATGCCCAAATATAGTGCTAGCAGCATGGCTATAGACTTGTGGTCTTGTTTAGTCATTAATAGTAATTCGTTTTCTTTATTTTGAGTACCGTGATGTGTTTTAAAAATGCATTAAATGCATTTACTTACTCCCTATTACTTTGAGATACAGTCTTGACTCTTGACATATAAAACGACCTGTAAATAATAAAAGGAGACATGAAAACACACACAAAGTGAGATTTAAATGTACTTTAATAGATGATCACCAGGCTGTTTCCCTTTTACAATGAATCTGAAGTAGTTCTACTTTTACAAGTTAGATTTAAAGACAGAGAGATATTGAATATTGCGCTGAGGAAGAGAAACGTAACTAAGATTAATACAATGCAAAATGAACTGAGAGAATCAAACAGACCAATACAGCGTTTCTTAACAACATGTTAACAGGGTAAACAATAAAAGCACAGCCCAGTATTATATTATTATATTACTGTATTTCAGGACCAGTTAAGACAATACGCTTTTTTTGTTCTTTTTACAAATATACCTCTTTAAAATAGCATTGTATTTGTTATTATTATTTCCATGTTAAACAATTACATTCAGGATTATAACTAAATAAATCACATGCAGAGATTAAATGGATGATCGACACCATGTTGAGATCAAATGAAATCTTCATTTCGATGCAGCGATGGCGATGAGATTGAACTGATAGATTTGTATTTCGTTCTGTATCTTGTCAGTGTTTTATCTTGAAGTAGTTTTGAGAGTATTGTCATTAAAACCGGTTAACAGGACAGTGTGTTATATATCTTTCAGGTTTGTTCTCTCCAGAGCGATATGTACAATCTGTGCACATACACGTACATGTGGCGTTTGTTTCATTTCATCCATGTTTTGTTTTTTGAGTCTGCATGTGTTTCAAGTCATTTTCAGGAAAAAGTTAACGTTGCATTTAGTACTATTTCTGTGTTAGTGTTAATGTGTTAGTTACGGGATCTCCCTCGCTTTCTGTCCCATCAGGATGACGCAGAACAGTCGTAATGACAGCGTCGTCAAAACATCAAACCGTTTCTGCTCTCATCCTCCGCTCCACACAATGTATTTTCTGTCAAGGCTGGTGTGTTTTGTTTTTATTTTTATTTATTTTCTCTATTGTTTTGATCCAGCAGCATTCGCATGGTCGTACCAACTCAACATTCAGAAAAATAGATCTCCTCTATAGTGCATTCAGCTTCTGCATGTGGTCACACAGTTCAGTATCGAGCGATTCACAGCGTTCTACTGGTGCCTTGAAAGCCTCAAGGCTGGGTATTTGGAATCTGCCAACTTAAAGACCATTTTTAAAAGACACTACATATCCGACCCTCCACTAAATCTGATTTCCAGACAACGACTTTCTAACAGTCAATGTAAACCTTTCCTCTCCTCTAAGTGTGCCCTCCAGTGTACTTGTGCATTGTCCAGCTGTTTAATATACAACCTGCATCAAACTCTCCCCAGTGGGATAAAATAAGAAGTCTGCCTCTGATTCATCACAAGCATGAGATGCATATCGAGGCTCAGAAAGTGCATAATGGACAGTATAATGTTAGGGGAGGCCAGGCAGAGCAGAGAGCACGGAGGCTTGGGAAGATGAGGTATAAAGAAGTGTGAGCGTTACACAGGGAAAGGAAATGGCACAAACTCTGACAACACGCTCTAGCTGCTTTTGAAATAGATTGAGAGAAATAATTAAGTTTAGTTAAACTATACAAGCAGAGGATCCTTTCTGCTTTTAGTTGGCAACATCTGGATCGATCAATAGCTCGAACAAAGTGCTTTCTGTAAATCCAAGCCTCCTTTCCTCCATCGCACACATTGGCCTCATATCAGTCCTTAACACAAACAAAAACAAGTCTGTGATGAGCCATATCGGCAGAAATGTATTTCTTAGAAATCAAATATAATAAATATTAGTAAAAGAATACAAATCAAAACAAAATTATTTTAAAAAAAAGTAAATTATTTTGTTAAATCTTGATATAAATAAAGAAATAAAACGTGGCCTCATTTCAAATCAATGTGAGCGACTCTCTAATGCGGCTGTGTGTGTGTGTGTGTGTGTGTGTGTGTGTGTGTGTGTGTGTGTGTGTTGTGTGTGTGTGTGTGTGTGTGTGTGTGTGTGTGTGTGTGTGTGTGTGTGTGTGTGTGTGGTGTGTGTGTGTGTGTGTGTGTGTGTGTGTGTGTGTGTGTGTCATATATCACACACACACAACTATTGCAAAGACACTTTAAATCAGCGTCCAGCATATAATCATTCATGCTCGTTCTGTAATAAATATTTATCTAGGAATAATATTGGGATTAATTGCTTCTTTATATATAAGATAGACTGTTTTTACATTATTTGATATTACAGGTAAAAGTCGTTTTCTATCACCACACTCGCTCTCTGTGCTCAAACTACTTCATCCCAACCCTAAACTCTCAGAAAAGGACAAAATGCAAGACTTCGCTCGAAGACATTCATATTTGTTTAAAAGTGGCTTTAATGCTGAATTTGATTAAAGAACTCTTTAGTTATTGAGTGTATTATTTCAGAGTGTGGATACGGTTTGTGCGTACTGGTATAAACGGACTGGTCCTTTATTTCAAAGTTGTGTTCTTGGTTTCTTTGTTTTACCCTGGTTTCTTGTCCTCCTTCCTCTTTAAACCTCAAGCTAAAGGCACATGAAAAACGCCTCCTGTAACACCCACTTATTGTCCTGAAATACAACCCCAATGATAAATATATATATTGCCGTTCCCACTTCTAATTCTCGCTTCGGTTGCTACATTAGTCACATGTACATTATTTTCCTTTCTCGTCACTTTGTGATACTGACAGAGACATGTTGCTGAACACGAGGAAATGACAGATCATTCTACATTAACCTTCTTCTCAAATGCATAATCAGAAACATTGTATTCGCTTCATCATTTTCTGCATTATTCCTAATTATTTAACATAACCTCTGTATTGATATAGACACATGTTTGTACTGGAGGTCATACAACACACAGAGCATGATGAAGACATTGTCCTTGGGCCTATGGAACCACAGCCAAACAGTAACCTATCTACTCTAAACTGCATCCATCACTTGGCTACAGAAAGGGTTAACCCTACGCAGTTCCGAACGATTTTCAGCTAAAACGCAAGCACCATGCAGCAGATAAGAGAGAAAGTCGAGAAGTAAAATCTCAAACAGTGGCAACCTCAGGCACCTCCTAAAACTTCACCACAAACTACAAGAAGTGTTGTTTTTTTGTCTTTTACATTACATCGATTTATGTCGTATGTATTGAGTAAATCCAGCAGCTACTGATCAGAATTGTAAATCATGTGCATTGAAAATAAAACCGAGGAATGTCTCCTCTTTGAAAAACACTGTGGATACAATCCAAACACTTTTTTGATCACTGATTCATTTAGGTAACATTTGCTTTACTTTTTTTTAATGTTAGATGATTACATTTCTGAGTTAATTTGGAATGAAGCCAACAGTTTAAGAACTACACTTCTGTCGTGTAACTGTGGCTGAAAACACGTATCAATGCATCTGTTATACGAGTCAAATAAAGCGTCATTATGTTATTAAAAATGTGTTTTCACCTAGTGCTAGTGTAGGAGTGTTTTACGGTTACAGACCTAACTGACACATGAAAGCATAAACCCACAATTTTGACTTTGATTTCAGCGAACAGAATCTAGTGTATTGAGCGCTGCGGCAAATGCATTGAGAGCGTTGAAGCTTTGAAGCAGCAGAGAGTGCTGGTCACTCTGCTTTGAGTGAGAACAGATGAGAGGGAGGGGAGAGATGGGAGGGGAGGTTACAGCGGGGGGAGTGAAGCTCGTGAAGCTCAGAACTCAATCTTGCAGGCAGAGAAGGACTCGTCCTGCATGACCACGGTGCTGCTGGAGGCCAGGACCATGATGTTCAGGTCCTGCTGCTTCTCGTGGGTCTGCTGGTACCATTCCCGGGTCACCTCCGAGTCGTGGGTCGGGATCAGAGTCACCTGACGGGGACACAATACATTTCATGTAGCCGATGGTTTTATCAAAACGAGTTACAATAAGGGCATTTCATTTTTTTATTATTTTATTTGTCAGCTTTAATTCAAGGGCATTTCATTAGGATCACTTTGGATGTTTCATCTTGTTCTGTATTTATTTTAATATTGTTGTTGTGTTTTCTGTAAAGCACTTTGGGCTGCTTTGTCCTTTAAAGCTGCTAAAGTTCATTATTATTATTCAACCATGGAGAAACAAACTGGAAAAGGGTTATTTCCTATCTATAAGCCCAACCAGATTAAGTGCTACTGCATTAGCTTCACTTAAAACCAAATCCTTTGTAAGTGCTACGAACAAAGGAGAGGTTTTTTGGTGTTTTTTTGTTGTTGTCGAGATGCAGTGAAACCAGGTGAGTTTTCAGTCTGCGATACAGAGTTAGAGGGAAGTGAGGGGACAATATTATACAGCAATAAGTCCAACACTGGTCTTATATAACATTTGTATTTCACTATCTGCAGATGGACCTGCAGGATCAGTCAAGTGAGCGAGAGAGCCAGGAATAGAGGATATTTTAGGCTCTTATACAGATTGATGCTGCATGCAGATATTTGCAAGGTCAGGAAATATATAGAACATGAATCATTCTCTCTAAGCTAGCACAGAACAGAACAATACAGCACAATACTGCTGAGCGAGGAAGGGATACTATCATCATTGTTTGGATAGCAGTTTGTTAATTGCAAATGCATCACAATGATATAAATAGAAAACTAAGACTTTTTAGTTGATCAAAGTATAGTAAACGTTTGTTCAAGTGTGTTGCTGATGTAACCGAACTGGTCGGCATTTAACAAAATAAAGACAGGGTTTTAAAGAAGCCCTTTTATGCTTTTTGGGGTTTTGCACCCACAAAGGCCCTACTGTACGTAGCTACATATCCTGATATTGAAGCTCAAGCCGGCGACGAGTGATATTTTTCTAACAGAGGCACAGATAGACTGATGGAGGTTGTACCTGTAAATTGGAGCCCCACTGAGCCTTGCCCTCCAGCAGGGCGTCCAGGACTCCTCGGCTCGGCTCTCCGCTGCCCGGGTCGTTCCCGCTCACCACGTAGTACGACGCTCGCACCCTCTTGAAGAACTCCTGGTCCACGTTCTTGGCACTGCAGTGGTTGGGCACATAGGCCAGGTCCACATAGATGGGGGGTCCAGGGGGAACAACAGAGCCAGCTTTCTGGGGGATGTTGCCTGGAGGTGAGAACATATTAAAAACAGCATGAGGAGGCAATTATCGTAGTTGCACAGCAGAAGCAAAGATCAACTTTGTCCTCAACTGAAGAAATGATATTCTGTTCAATAACGTATTCATAGAAATCAGTGCTTCTGAAGAATAGGACGGAGAATAATGTATGTGCTGCACATCCATCATTGTAATGTGCACCTACCTCATTTGAAGATACACTTGATGTGCTGTTTAATGAGAAATATATCATTGTTCCTTGTAACTTGACATTATCAAGTGCAGAATTATTATGGTTGCAAATAGAAAGTCATAATACAAATTGAGTTGTTAGCATGATCGCATCAATGCCCCAAAATAACCATATTAACTAACAAAGAAACTTAGATTTAGAAATACGATTAACAGCCGTATTTATTTGCACAACATCTTATGGACCTTGGATATAAACGAACAACAGATGATTCTCCCAAAATGTTTTTAATGCAAGTACAGTCATTTATATGTTAGTTCCAATGAAAGCTTACATTATTCATATCATTGGAGAGGACACTTTGTTGTTGTTTAGGTTGCATTATAATTGCTTTCTAATTGAGCATGTAAATGTGACTAATGGTTGAAATTCAATTGGATATCTGGGTCTAAACATCTGCTTCTTGCTTCATTTAAAATGTCGAAATTTGATTTTTAATCTTGGTGGATAAAATGGTCCTTTCTTTTGTCTGTTGTGCCTTTGTCTGGTTTGAATGTGCCCAGGAATCAAGTTACATGTAAAATCATGTTGTTGGACGTGAAGATGTTAACCAACCTGAACTGGTCTTGACGCCGTTGACCAAGCCTTTCCCTGGGCTGAGGATCTCAGTCCTGGAGCCTTGAGTCTCGGACATCTTGATCAGCCTGGAGCTTCTGTCCGTGTCCTTCCTCTTCAGGGACGCTGATCGAGGCGAGGAGGAGTCCTTGGAGGCCTGCTTCGATGGAGTAGAGGACCTCTTCCTGACTTCGCCCTTACGGGAAGGGGAGGCCGATTTGGGTTTGCTCTTCCTGAGGCCCTTGGTGGTTTTGTGCTCCTTCTTAAGAAGTTTCTCAGTGCTGCTGTTATCATTGAGAAGAGCTTCTGGATCCACCATGCACACATCTGGGTGCGGAGGGTGGGGATAAGGGTCCTTCATCGCGGTTGGAGCCGGATCATGAGTCTTCTGCGATGACCTGGGTGATGAAGGATGGTGTCCACCGCCAGCTGCAGATAACTTGTCCACTGGAAGATGTTCAGCGTCCTCGTCCGAGTCCAGATTCCCTTCAGCCGTTATCGACGGACACTCTTCGGTTCCTGGAGGGACGTCAGAATCCGACTGCGAAGGCAACGACTCGCTCACTGATGTCGGAGGAGTTTCCTCTCCAGCTAGAGTCACTGCCAAACCAGAAGACATGGGGCCGGGCAGCTGGTGAGGCGCCTGTCCAGAGTCACCGTGAGCACTCTGGGTGTGGTGGGGCTTCTGCTTGTGTGACCTCCTTTTTACAGAGTGTTGCTCCTGATCGTCCTCGTCCCCTTCCTCAGAGTGCTCACTGCGTCCTTCCTCCGCGCCCTCGCCCTCGTCACTGGACAGCGGGTGAGGGCTGGGGTTCATGAACGATGGAGAAAGGTCTCCTTTGCGGTGTTTGAATTCGCAGGACGAGTATCCTGGATGGGAGGAAGAGGAGGTGGCTCCGGTGTTCAAGTCAGAAGGACGATCAGCCCTTGCTGCTCCTTTGCTGGATGCTTCTGTGTGATAGGCATCTTTTGAGGAGGACATAGAGGTACCGTGGGCACTGGTCCTCCATTCCATTGCTTCCTCATCCTCTTCGTCCTCATCGTCATCCCCATAACCCGGAGGAGGGGCACTTGGGCAGTCTTCAGGCCTTTGTAGTAGCTCCCAATCAGATATACTGCTCCTTCTCCTTTCCACTAGTCTCTCTGGTGTCTTTTCTGACAAGCTTTTCTCCTCGTCTTCCTTACAATCTCCTGCTCTTTCACACATCTTCGTATCAGTTGTTGCCTTCTTCTCGTCTGTGCTGTCTTTACACATTATGCGTTCACTGTCTTTAGCAGTCTCTGCCTTTTCATCACTTCCTGACACCTTAGCGCCTTCCTTCAAAGCTGCATTTGTCTTTTCGTCTTTTACCTCCATTGTTTTGGACACCTCTGTTGTGGCACATGTGGTTTTGCTGGCTCCACTATCACTCAGTGAAGGAAGTGAGGCTGTCTGTTGCGATGTTTCAGGTTTAGACATATACGCAGAGGTGATGGTGACTGCCTTGGTCTCTGTGGACTGAGTGGTACTTTCAACCACATGTGAGTCAGTTGTGGATGAAAAGCTCTGCTCCTGCTGTGCTACTTTGATAGTTTGACATATACGACATGGTAGGGCGCTGTCCTCCATTTCAAGTGTTACAGGCTCCTCTTCTTCTGATGATTCTTGGTATACCTTGTCAGATGAGTCAGCCCTTTGGAGGGGAGAGACATCAAAGCAAGCCTCTGATGAGGACAAACCCTCGGACACCTTGACTTGACTTTGTAAAGAAGGTGCTGCGGAAGATGTAGTCATCCTAGTTTCTAGCATGTAAAAACTATCAGTGCTTGACTTTGTGTCCGTTTCAGGCTTTGCAGAACCACGTTGATCCATAGTCTGTTTGGCAGTGGTAGAGAAGACTGATGATGATGGTTTGGTATCATCAAACTGGCTGGGTAAAGACACTTTAGTTGTAGGTTTAGTCGTCACCTCCATGTACTCATCTCTCTGAAACCCTCCAAAGCAAGAGCTGGAAGACTCAGCCCTGAACGATGGTTCCTCTTTGGCTAGAGGTACAGTAGAGCCTGATATGGTTTTAGCTTTGTCTCCAGACTCTTGGCTCAAAGGGCCGGACATTGAGGCTGAGGATGAGTAACTGTACGATGTGGAGGAGAATGTTGAAGTAGAGTATGTTAGGGTGGTGTATGTGCAAGGTGATGAGGCAGTTTCCTTGTGTTTTGCTGTGATCTCTAAGCTCTGCCTCTCGTCTTCTTGGCTGTAATGTTTATCATCGCTTAGCTTGGATAGCTGGGAGGCCTCTGAGGTTTCTTTCTTATCTTCTTTCAATCCCACCTGACTTCCCTCACTGTGAACATGCTCAGAATAACCTCCAGGTCTACTCTGTCCGATGTCGGCATAGCTTCCTCTTAAAGGAAGGGAGGGACTGGATGAAGGTACAGACTCTGAATGGTCAGGTGGCAAAAAGCTGGATGTTAAGGTGCTTGCGGGCATTGGTTCAGTATCCCTTTTCAAAAAGCTTGGTGATAGAGACGCTTTGTCGTCATCTCCCTGTGTTGTCTGTAGGGCTTCATAGGAGGTATCCTGAGCCAATGATAACCTCCTGTTTGAGGTTGGTTCAGGAGTCAAATGCTCTTTCTTAGTCTCAGGGAGTTTGGGAAGATCTGTTGAAGTGAAATGGATTTCGTCCATTTTGTAAGGGTCTGGTGATGAAGTCATTTGACCAACATCTTCACTCTTTGTCTCTGGGACTTTTGATGTGGCTGCGTCATCTTCTTTGAGTGGTTTTGTTTCAGGCGATTGTGGTTTTCTGCTTCCCTCCTGCTGGTCTAAACATGAGGCTTCACCAGTTGTTGGTTGAGAGACTTTTTCCTCTTTAAGGACGCTTGATTCAGACAACTTTTTATTTGAGTCCTCCACCTCTGCTAACACAGCACTGTCACCAGAGGTTCGTCTGCACATTTCTTTTTCGGACTGTTCCCTTGCGCCCTTCTCCACATCGACATCACTTAACTCCTCGTCTTCATCCTCCTCCTCCTCATCATCTTCGTCTTCATCATCATCCACATTGAAATCTTCCCCTTCTACAAGTAATCTTTTATCTATAAAGCTCTCTTTTCCATCAGGAAAGTCTAGAGTTGGTTTACAGGAGGCAGAGCTGCTAATTTGACTGTTGTCAGATGCCAAAACATTATCATCTATTTCCTGTCCTGAAAACGTGGCGGCAGATACAGGCCTTGAGGTTTCTTCTTTCTGTAAAGGTGTTGCTTGTTGAGGTAAAATGTCTTTTTCTGCAGGTGAATGCCGACCACATGCAGATTTTTCTTTGAGCGACTCAGCAGATTTTTCATTCTCTTTTTCGGTTGTTTTCTTTTCTGTAAATTCCTCAAAAGCTACAGGAGTTGCTGAAACTTGAGTACCGAGATCTGACTGGCTCCATGATGGAGAGGGTGTCTCCTGTCTTAGTGGCACACTTGGTGATTGAGCAGATGCACTGCTATCACTTTCTTGTGTCCCCCCTGATGGAAAAGCCGCAGCTGAAGCCCCTTCCATCATATCTTCCTTTTCTTTTTCAGATTTCTCCGGTTTGTCCTCTTTAGGAGTGAAAGAATAAGACTCAGCAGCCTGGGACATTTTGTTATCCTGCATGTCTACGGATGAAAAGCTCCTGTCAACATAAGGTGTATCTGGTCTCTCTTCTTTCTGGCTTTCTTCCTCCTGGCCTTTCTCTCTGTCTTCATATCTAGGTGAGGCACTTGGGCTGTGGTGGCCGCTTCTTTCACTTTCCGTCAGAGACACCGGGCTGTAATCGACTCTACTGAAGGACAGAGAATCTTCTTTGTACTGATCGTCCAGGAGGAACAAGGCTCCTCCAGCCTCTGTCTGGCTTGTTCTTCTGTTATCATCAATACCAATATCAGAGGGGTGTTCGAAACCTAAAGAAACCTCACTTTCTTCCCTAGAGTCCAAGTCATGATCCTTTGGAATGGGCTTTTCATACGGATCATATTTGGACGCACCAAAGGTTTGCTTTTCTTCTCCGAGGCTACCACTGACAGTCTCTGGAGTCAGTGTTGCAGCATCAGAGGGGCTCTTGTCTTCAGAGTCCAACGTGAAGTAGGAACAAGGCGGTGCTAATCCTGGAGAAGCCACCTCTCGCTCTCCTTCCATCTCCCTCTCTGCTTCCTTTCCTGCTTTCTCATCTAGTGCTGTCTTCTCTGCGGCGCTGCCTTCTGAACTAAACAGGGATGGTGTTTGTTTCTCTTTTCGAGGTGTTTCCTCCACACTGGACTGGCTCTCTGCGCTGGAGAGCGTTGAGCTCCGCGGTTGACTGTCGGCGCTCGATACCGTCGACAACGCAGGCTTTTTCTCATCTGACAATGGTTCTGCTTTAGACGCGGGGGCATCAGGAGCTGTGTCTTGCTTGGGAACAGTGGTTGTGTCCTCCTTTGATGTCACAGTATCAAAGGAAGGCTCTGCAAATGGTGCAACCGTGGTTTCTGTTTTCACAACGTCTTTCCCAGCTTCAGGGGAAAAACTGTATTCTTCTTTTTCAAACTCATCAAGAGAGGGCTCCTGCATTGTAAGAGTTGGTATGATCACTGTGACGGATATCGGTGGCTTAGTTGGGTCACTTGTGTGTGGTTTTTGGGGCGAGGGAAGACCTACCGAGGGGATGTCATGTTCTGATTTCTTCAGATCTACCGACAGAGGTCTTGAGCCGGCTCCTCCCATACACATGTCCTCTTCGTCTACATCTTCGCTGTCTTCATCGGAGGACTGAACCACAAATGCAGGTTTGCAATCTGACTTGGCTGCTTCTCCTAATGTTGTCTGTGCAGGTTGTTCAATGGTTTTCTCCAGATATTTCTCTTGTAACTCCTCTTTCTCCCACTTATCCTCCTTAGTGTGGTCGGCATCAGAGTCTTTCTCAGTGATCTCATCCGTCTTCCTGTCACCTAAATCCTTTTCTTCACTCATCTTTTCATCCTCTTCTTGTTCTGTCTTTACCTCTTTGGTGTCATCAGTCTCATATGTGTATTCCTTTTCCTGTTCCTTTTCCATTTTCTGTTCTTTGCTCAGTTCAGCAACATGTGTGTCGTCCTTTTCTTTCTCTGTCTTCTCTTCGTGACCGGTAACAACCTTTGTATCTTGGTCTCTCTCTTCCTGACTCTGGCTTGGAGACAGGTCTTTACTTGATGCAGTTATAGAAGTGTCTTGCTGCATTGACGTAGCTCCGAACGTTCCCTTCTCTTTCTGAGTTTCACCAGACTTCTCAGAGATGTCTTGTGGCTTATCACTCACGTCACTGATATCATCCTTTTTGGTTGTGTCCCCTTCCAAGATCCAAGACACGGGAAGGTCTACCTCTTTTTTCTCATCCTTCTTACATTCAGACTCAAAAGAATAATCCTTCTTTTGTTCTTTCTCATCCTTGGCACTACATAATGGAGACTTCTCGGTCTCCTGTTTGATTACCACGTCCTTGGGTTGTGCAACACTGGCATCTGTTGCTTTCTCTTTGTCATCTTGTTCAGTGTCCTTATCCTTTACGTCTCCACTTTTGGCTGAAGTACCAATGTTCTGCTCCTTAGGTGCAAGCTCAGAACTCTTTTCTTTCATGTCTTGTTCGCAAATGTCATCCTTGGGTACATCTTTTGCCTCTTCCTTGAGGACTTTTACATCTTTTACCTCAGCCTTGCCCTCATCCGCAGGGCTTTTCAAACCATCTTTGCTTTCTTCACCCTTCGTACCAGAAATGTCATCCTTAATTGTTACTGTAGGTTCCTCCTTGTCTACTGCTTTCTCGGTGTCCACTTCCATACTTGATCTGACAGCACAGATATCTTTACTGATTTCTTTCTCCTTATCATCTTGTGTGGTGGGTTTAGCAACAAATTCTTCCGTTGATGTTTTGACGATGTCTTTGCTCATCATGACATCCTGTTCATCCATCTTGGAAGTGTCGTCTTTGTTTGTTTCTTGGCCCTTTTTGTCGTCCATGACTGGTTTGACTTCATCCTTAAGTGTCTCGTTTGAGGAACTATCTTCCCTACTGGTCAGTTTCTCTCCAGCTTCTGTCTTGGTAAGTTTAGTCGCAGCAGTAGCATCTTTACTCCCGTCTTCCTTCTTCTCTTCTTCTACAGTAGGTTTGAAGGTGCTAGCATCATCCTTGCTTGTTGTCATATCTTCTTCGTGCTCCTGTGTTTCATAGATATCATCTTTACTCATCTCTCTCTCTTGTTCTGCAGTTGGCTTGGGCGAAGACATGTCCTCTTTCCTCAGAGCTGCATCCCTTTCCTGCACTGTGGTGGGGCTGGTGGGCCAGATGGCATCTTTACAAATGTCTTGCTCATGTTCTTCTTTCATGATAACAGCAGACGTATCAGTCTTACTAATCAGTTCTTCTTCTTTGGTGAGTTTAGCCCCAGTAATGTCACCCATCCCTTTCTCTTTCTCCTCCCCAGTAAAAGGCTTAGTAGCAGATATTTCTATCTTCCCCATCTCTTTCTTATCCTCAATCACTTTAATATCAGATGTTTCCGTCTCCTTTTCCTCATCTTTAGCATGCTCAGTGATGGGCATGGCGTCCTTCTTTAACTCTTTTTCCATCTCGTCTTTAACAGGCTTGATATCTGTGGTTTTGACCATTTCAATCTCTTTCGCTTCGGCCTTTACAGTCCTAATGTCACAAATATCACGCTTGTCCGTCTCTTTCTTCTCCTCCTCTATCAGAACCTCACTCTTAGACACATCGTCCTTTTTAACCTCAGTTTCCATAGCACCGGCTTTGGTTTTGAGGTCATCATCTTTCTGCTCGCCTTTGATTTGTGTGACCTGAGACGCAGCGGTTTCCATCTCTGCTTCTTTAGTAGTTTTGATGTCAGTTTGATCTTTTCCAGGCTCTTTCTGTTCATCTTTAATAGCGCCATCCACTGCGGAAACGTCCTTTGCAATTTGCTCTTCCTTCATGGGTTTAATATCCGAGGCGATCCCCTTGACTTCCTCTTTCTCATCTGTGAAGAACATGACGGCAGAAACATCTTCCTGGGTGACAGATTTCTGTTTTTGCTCATCCTTCAATTGTAAGATATCAGAAGTGTCGTCCATTTCTTTTTCCTGTTCCACCTTAACTGCAGATTTATCATCATGATGGTCGTCATTATCATTGTTGTTATCATCATCATCATCATCATCATCATCATCGAGGAAAGTGCTCTCCCTCTCTGGAAAGGTACTTGGCACTTTCTCTCTGAGCGTAGAGTCAACCTCTTCATCGATGTGTCCAGAGGAGATGAGGGAACCCCTTCCTAACACGGGGGACTGAACATCTGTTGAAGACGCAACAGCAGGGATTGTTTCTGTGTCTTTGCCTTCGTCTTTTTGCACTGATGAAGAGTCCTTCTCTGACTCCTTCATCACTGGAACCTCCTTTATGTGTTTCTCCAAATATGTGGGAACGTCCCCTTCAAGTTGATCTGCTTTCTGTGTGTCCTTTTGTGTCTCTGCTTCATCCTTCTTTGTAGTTTCAGTTGTTGTGGCGACATGGAGGACCTCCTCTTGCTTCTGCCGCTCCAAATCAGGGCTCGCCTTCGTCTTGTCCTCCACTGGGGACTGACGAAGAGGAGAGTGAGCTGCACTCTGAGGTCCAGAATGAGGAGGAGATGCCATTTTCACAGTGATATCATCTGGACTGAAGCAGCGCTCTTCGCTCTCTGAAGTCACTGAGTCTGACCCAAAAGGTCTAGTAGGCACAACGGATGAATGATCTTTAGGCGCAACAGCATCCAAGTTCTCTTCTTCAATCGGGAGGTGGATTGGTTTGGTTCCCTTGATAGAAACGGAGCCAGCAAGCTGCGTGTTATCAGTCTCTTTACCTTGTGGGAATTGGGATGAAGCATACCCCTCTTGGAGTTTCTCAAGTGAAATGTCAACATTAGGAGTTTGGTCTTCATCCTCTTCCTCCTCCTCCTCCTCCTCTTCAGAGTGAGCTTCAGGAGCTTTAGTCGATGTCTTGACTTCTGCAACCGGAAGATGCAACTCATCAGATGGAGACTTGATTAGTTTGTCTTCTTCTAGAGAAGGTGGGGAAATAGTTCCTGCAGAGAGTGGCTGCTCTTTGCCTTGGCTGGCATCAGGTGGGGAGGCGAGGGGGCTTTTAGGCGGTTCCTCGGCTCGAGGAGTTGCGGCAGAACCCCCAGAATGATCCTCGGCGATAGAAGTCGGAAAGGAGCACACTTTGTCATACTCGGTGATGGACGTCGCAGAAGACACGTGCTCCTCTTCGGCCAGAGGAGCCGTGATGATGCTGGTGAACACCGATAGCTGCTCCTGCACGCCTGGGAGGAACGTCTTCTCCGTCAGAGCTGCAGCTTGAATCTCCCTCATGCCGTGAATGTTCACAAAGGATCCAGTTTGATCTGGAACAGAGATGTCGTAAGTACCGACATCGTATTGGAGGTGTGGTATCCTCTCCTCGGCCTCCTCATGAATCTCCTCATCAGAGATGGTCTGTTCTGTCTCGGAGTATCCGGGGATGGTCTCGTCCTGGATGTAGGAGACGGGTTCAGCTGCAGTGGCTCCTTGAAGTACGGAAGTGATGGGAGCTGTGGCCCCTCCGACATGCGACAGGTAGCCCTCCTCCTCTTCCTCTTCTTCAGCTTCATCTTCAGGTTTGATCTCTTCATCTGCTATAACATCTAAATCTTCTACCTCCTCCAGTTCGGCTTTCTCCAGCACCTCTTCCTCTTCCTCGTCTTCCTCTTCGAAGGGAATATATTTTGTCGCAACCTGAGCTGCCAGATTTCCTGTTTTCTCCATTTCTTCTAACTCGTGTTTCCTGTCAAGCCCGTCGTCCTTTGCCTCCTTCCATTTTGCTTCGTCTTCCTCTTCACCAATTCCCATATCTTCTTCTTCCTCCTCGTTCGTTGTCTTTTTAGCAACTGGGGACTCGTCTTCCTCCTCCTCTTCTTCATCCTGAGAGGCTGCTCCTTCGTCCTCAAACTTTTGAGCGTCTTCCATTTCTCTCAACTCTTTGTCTTTGTCTTCTGCTTTAGCTTCTGGAGCCGAATCATCCTTTTCTGGAGACTTCGGCTCGGCAGATTCGGTCGCAACGGACCTTTTCAGATCGTCAAAGTCCTTGGTGAGGTCTTCAGGGCTCGAGGTGACGGACGGGAGCTCAGCAGCTCCGTTCTCTGTCGGTTCAGGTTGGATCGTCTCAGGCTCTTCTGGCTTCGGCTCAGCAGGTAACGCCTTTGCTGCCTTGCTTTTTCCACTCTTCGCTTTGCTTGTCGTTTTAGCTTTGTGTAACGTCTTCCTGACCTCCGGTGTGAACGTTTTCAGCTCAGGTTTAGTCATTTTCCGCAGCTCTGGTTTGGACGAGTCCTTCTTCTTGTCGTCTTTGGACTTCATATCTTTCGAGTCATCTCTCTTTACTTTCTTGATCTCTTTCTTTTCCTTGTCCTTTTTCTCATCCATCTTCGACACCCTTTCCTTCGGGTGCTTTTTTATCGATTTTTCTTTCAGGAGCTTTTTCTTTTCCGGGACATCACTTTTGGATTTGATTATTTTAGTAGGCTTTTTCTCTTCTTCTATGTTTTCCTTGACAGAGTCACTCTTTGCCTCGGTGGCGGCTGAGACATCGTCTTGCCCCTCGGTTTCTTTCTTTGAGGCTTTTGCAGTAGTCTTCGGGGACGACTTGAGACTCTCTTTGCTGTCTGTTCTTTGTTTTAATTTGGTTTGTTTGATAACAGAGGCAGGAGCTCCGGAGGCAATGTCCTTTTGTGTGGCGACAGGATAGCGCAAGAAGTCAAGGTGCTTCAATTTTTCTAGGCCTTCCAGAATCTTGTTCTGCGGTGCGTTCCCAGGGAACAGCACTCTGATGATCTTTTCTGCAGGGTTGGCAGGCAGCCAGACAACCAAGGCTGTAACTGATGTCAGGTAGGGCACAGATATTTCTCCTTCTTTCCCGTTGGGCAGAATAATACCAGTTTTGGCCTTGCTGTTTCCAGCCCACTTCTGCATTAAAAACTGCATCTCTTTACTATCTTTGACAGGGTTGAGAACATACATGTCCAACTTGCCCACTCCCATCTTGTGGAACAGAGTAATGGGCTCTATGGTGTTGCTGGACACTCGGAAGAGAGGCTCCGGTTTGATTCCTAGTTTACTCAGGTACTGCAAAGTCAGGGAGGCTTCTTCGATGCTGCGCTTCACTTTAAGATTAGATTCTGGCATACGGAGCTTCTCGGGCACGTTGAAGAAAACCACACCCAGTTCAGGAGAGATCAGGTTCTTCATCCAGTCGTTGTAGTTGACGGAGCCTTGAGAATGCTCCTCCTCTTGTTCTGCTATCTTCCTCTGAAGCAGCCCATTGATACCTGGGAGATTGTCGGCTCCGATGTGTGTGAGCAGAACCGAGTCAATGCGGTCCAAGTGACGGACCAGCTTCCAGAAGCACGACTTTCGTTCAGAGCCTCCATCCACTAAGATGTTGAAGCCATTCACGGCAAAGAGAGCTGAGTCTCCTCGCCCACCGGGAAAGATGTAGCAACACGGTTTGGAGAGTTTCAGGAAGCCTCCGGACGTGGGAGGCTCCAGGAGCTCGAAAGGTGAGGGGACGTCCACCGTCTGAGAGACATACTCGGTGAACTCGGTGACGCCCTCCATCTTGGGAAGAACAGACTCAGGGTTTAGTTTGTATTCCAGAAACTCCCTCAGGGTCTGATGTTGTCCCAGGGAGCTCCAGCCCACCTCCCCGCGGCAGGACACAGTGAGAGTAGCCTGCTGCTTCGGGGCTGCTGAGCCCAGCAACTCACTGACCTGCAGGAGGGACAAACCCAGACAGAGAGTCAGTAATGCAATGAGGCAAGATGGTAGACCTGTGTTTTCAAGACATGAAAAAAAAGTTAACTCGAATGTGGGATAAGTGGGGGCTGAACATTAACATACATAAAGTTATTTGTGTAGATTCAAGATTTAAGATGCAAGGTTTTTATTGTCATGTGTACAATGAACATCTTAGGCCACAGGCTCCTCCAACGGTGCAACACAATAAAACAGATACAATAGTGCAAGTAAATATAAATAAAAAATAAAATAGAATATAGTAGAAATAGTGCAGAATAGTCTATATACAAGTAATTGGAATATTGATAAGTTGCAAACAGATGAATGTTTATTTGGCCACATTATTTTGTTGTCTACAGTGCCAGTATATATATTCCTAAATGGTATCGGCATGTACCTATGCTTTCATATTTTAAGGAGAGTTCACCCCAAAAATCTGAAATATTTTCTTTCTTTCTATGACCAGGATATTTTAGGTAATCTACAGATCTCGTTGTGACCAGTATCCTGAAGGAAACATTTTCTACAGAACTAAATCCACAAACCGTATCACCATGCAGAAGAAAGATTGACATCTAGTACTCACTCATTGGAAGGTGTAATGCAAGGTCTGTGGATTAGTTGCTTACTAGTTAGTTGAGTAACCAGGTCATGATTTCTGGAAAGAGAGTATTTTAAATGTACTTTTTGGGAGGTATGTAAACCACAAGCCTAGTGACATCATGTTCGTCCATGTTCCAGAGAGATCTAACATCTCAACGGCTGATATTATATCCCACACGCAACTCAAACCAAACAAAAAAGATAATGAAGACTGATAAGTAGCACTACAGCTAACAGGAAACAAATATAGATTTTCTGAAACTCTTTAATCAGGCAGTGGGTTGGACTCACCCCAGGATCAGAGAAGACTCGTGAGAGGGTCTGGTGGTTGAAAACGCCGCTTTGAAGAAGAAGGCCACCGTGATCCGAGCTCTGTCCACTCAGGACCAGAAGCTTCTGTGCTGCAGAGTCAGTGACCAGAGACTCGATCTGACACACACACACACACACACACACACACACACACACACACACACACACACACACACACACACACACACACACACACACACACACACACACACACACACACATACACACAGAGGACAGTTAAAGGAGAGACAACATTGCCACAATAGAAAGAAAAATGCCTGTATCACTGGCAAATAAATGACCTTTAATTGTGTCAAGGTTAACCCGATTTGCCAATGTGTTCTCTGCAATAAATACAGACAAATATAAAAGACACAAAGGTCATCAGGGTTTCTATTATTGTATATCCTTTACAAAAGTAAGGGCCATGTTTTGCTGGGACTATATCTTTTACATCTACTATGGTAAAAATACTAGGATGCATTCATTCCCTGTCCAGATTTACATTATTGCTTTCTTTAATCAGATGAATCCTCATTTAAAATATGATTATCCTATTTAGACTTTTTTCTTTACTGGCAAAATGTAAACATATTCACACTCAGGGCAATTGACATGCTCGACAACTGTGGCCATTTATCAAAGACCTTATTTGTTTAAAAGCCACACAACTCATTTCTAAGCGTAGAATTAGACAGCAGGGCCCTGTATTTCAGGATATGATGAAATTACCTCTGATACGACAGAATCTTCTGAAGGGTTGACCAGCACTACGGTCTCTAAGACATCACTTCTGTGGTGGAGAGTCCTTTGTCCTGAAGCAGAAGATTGAAAACATAATGTCAACACCTTGTGTCGATGAAGCACTTCAGACGAAGATTCAACTCCATCAAGATCTGAAGGTTGGACACTGTCGTCCAGCTGAAGACATCCAGATGGATGACATTGAAGTCGTTTTAAATTGTGCCAGTTTTTAATGATGTATAATAGTTTCTTTTATTTGCATATTGATTGGTCGATTTCAAATTTCATTTGTGTTTGACGACCACTGTATTCGTCTGCCTGTACTGTCTGTGTTTTATCTGTGTAACGTTGTTCATGCTGCCCTTCTTGGCCAGGTCGCTCTTGGAAAAGAGATTTTAATCTCAATGAGACTTTTACCCTGGTTAAATAAAGGATATATATATATCCAGGAAACCTCTTTGAGTCAGGGAGATGTACTTCACTGCATTCTGCATTGCATGTGGGACAATCACGAGAGAGACGAGCAGCCCACGTGTGCATCAACGCAAGAACAAAAGTAGGAAATGGGTCACTGTCGTCTGTTGGGTGAAAATGTAACTATTTTAAAAATCCATCCAAACTGATAGCCTACCCCTAACCCCTGGATAATTCATGTATTCTTATTGTGATTCTGATACGTTTTTTCATACATTATCTTACACTATCCCAATTTAAACACCTGCTTTTCTGGACACAGACAGAAAGAAACGCCACTTGCAATCTGGTCCTGCTTAAATAGGTTTCTAATTTATGACATATTAACAATTATGTCAATAAAAACACTAATGCATTCAAATGTGCACACAAGACCACAGGAAACATCACTAAATGCACTTCATTGTTTAACATACATTGTTTCCACACATCCAAATACATATTCATTGTAATCATGCATCAGCAGTTCATTCCACTCAGGGATGATACGCTTTTAATTCCCCTTTGTTTCAGCACAGATGCAAGCTCTAATATTAGACAGCTCTAATAATAGTGGTCTCTCAGTGACTCTGTCATCCCCTGAGTCTGCGGTGCTGCGCCATCTTTTTTAAGATCAGGGCTGATGACATGAGTTTTCCACGAAAAACCTCTGATGTAAATTGTTCTCACGCTTAGACACTGTGATGCATAAACGACTGGGACAATTAAAACAACTATAAAGAAGAATTGTATACAGTAAAGATGCATGAGAGAGAAAACGTATATCAGGAAGGTAGAGCAGTATTTAAAGGGGCTCTATCATGATCATTTTCAGCTTCATATCAGCATGTAGTGTCTCTACTGGGACATGTCTCCTTGCTTTGATGTTCTCATACTGCCTGTGCTGCAGCACCTCTTTTCACCCTCTGTCTGAAACCAGAGCCCAGTCTGCTCTGATTGGTTAGCTGGCCGGCTCTGTTGTGATTGGTCAACAGACCTCTTAGCCTATCACGTACAGTGGGTGTTTCTCAATCTCGAGTACGCTTGCTTGGTAGCACATGTGTTCTGAGCGTCTTGCTTCAGAAGCGAGGCAAGAATCCTTCCTGGCATTCAGAAAACAAAGAGTGGAACAGACTAGCAGGTGTGCGTCATACGAGAGGCCCCGCCTTACATTTTCCGCCACAGATTTGGGGAAATTGGTCCGTGCGCAAAGCATTGTGGGGATTTTAAGACCACGGAGTCTACACATGTGCAGCCTTGAAATGTCTCCAAACGAAGTACGCCGGGCTCGGTAGAATTCCAAGTATGCTGGACATTGGAACAGTCCTTCGGCGGCACTCGATGACGTAGTATGCTTGAAATAGTGGCTCTGGAGCAGCTTTACTCGAGATTGAGAAACACCCCATGTGTTGGAGCGCTAGCCAATAGAAGCACGAGTGTTACATGTGATGTCCTTATGTGACAGAAGTAAACAAAGGAGTCCAATAGAGGCGTTTCAAGCAGGGGGGGGGGGGGGGGGAGAGTGTGTGGGAGAGAAACTCAGGGATTTTAGCCTTTGCAGACCATTTACATGCACTAAAACTTATATATCACACTACAGGAAAGCGGGGACCCCAAAAAGCATAATAGGGCTTCTTTAAAATGTGTGTCCATCTGTGAAGAATAAGTCACTCTGACTCAAATAGAAGCTGTTATATTACAGATGATAATCACACACACACATTATCTCCTTTCAACTCATGATTGTATTTTATGCTTTCTTATTCTCCATTGAACTACAGTAAATGACATTAACAATATAACAGTGATTAGGAAAAACGTTTTATATTCAAACGCAATTTTCCATTTCCTGAACAAATGTCAGTATGTTCTTTCTCCTCTTTCTAAATTCAGATCATGGAAACGTTTTTACCAAGGAAACTCTTTTTGGAAAATAATCTGGCCGTTAGCGAAAGTGTTCACCCTCTCCTGTTTAAATTGGTCCAAGCAAGCTGTGGATCACTTTAAATAGCCGTTGCGTATGACAGACGCTGCGGCATGTAAACAAAATGGCCTTTGCTTGTGGGTACGAGCTGCAGTAACTACGTCTGAACACAAAGTGAGGAGAGCAGTAACTCAAGGTCAGAGATAACAACGCTGACACAGTAAAACTACTGAGAAGAATACAGAAGCATGAACCAAGCAGAACGGTTTGAAATGACCAAAGAGACAAAGTCAAGCCCAATGAAAGGAGACTGGTCTTCAAAGCGATGATACATTCACATACACTTCTTAAATAGCAAATAAACGTCATTTGCTGGGTATTTGACACAAAATATAACGATATTAAAAGATATATTCATTCATTAAATGTATAAACACATTGGCGTACATTACCTTAGGTTGTTGAGAAGAACATTAACATCAAATCAAGTTTTATTTATATAGCACATTTTTAAAACGATTTTTGGTCGAGCCAAAGTGCTGTACATATAATAATTACCTTACAGTAAGGACACTATACAGCAAATACAACAGCACAGAATATCAGTATGAGGAAACGACACCCTCTGTATTTATTATGGAGTCTGTGAGCAGAGATCACAAAACTGCCACAGTAAAAAATACTGAATAGAGTAAACAGAAAGAAACCGAGCAGAAATTTGGGCAAATTTGAAGTCAAACTTGATGATTGTGTTAGAATAACAACATATAAGTTATACTGGCCGGTCAAATGATGAAATAGTCACTATAAATCATTTTAGACGTGCCATTCCTGTAGAGATGCCATCTATTTTTGTCTTTTTGAATGTGTGTCTGTTTATATACAGTATATACTTTCTCTGTATGTTTTACCTGTAAAAGAGCTTTGAGACTTTGGTTACATAAATACAATCTTAAATACTTACATAAATATTAAACAATCTGAATCATTGAAGCAAACAGGAAGATCAGTGACTGTGTATCGCCAGAGAGAAAACAATACTGCCACGGTAGAGAAAAACTAAATATGCACCAAGTAGATCGATAGACAGAAAGTCAAACATTAAATACACATACTGTACAATTTGAGGAGTCCTGGTGGAAATACAACATATACTGTATGTCTGACTGCCTGAAAGACATGCTTAAAATAGACTTAATAAATCCTCTAGCTGTAATGTTTTGTTTGTCTTCTGTATTGCAATGTGTTCTCTGTAACTATATGTATTTACGTGTGAAAGCACTTGTTTTAAAAGCTGCTACAGTATGTAAAAATAATGTCACCATGGCAACACACTGATGTCCATATACTGTTTCCCCTCATCAGTGCATCACTAATGTGAAATATAGAAAACAGCAGACCCCGCCTGCTGGAGGTTATTGAGTTCCCTCAGAGATCAGAGGAAGATGCTGGTGCAGCAGTGAAGAGGAGCTCTGGCTCTTCATCAGACGTGTCCGATTTCACAGAACGATGACTCAGCTGAGGGGGGGGGCTTTAAAGGTCACCTATTATGCAAAATCCACTTGTTCACGTCTTTTCTACATCAACATGTGTCCCCTCTGTGTAAAGAGATTCTGAAAGTTTCAGGAATAAAGATTCCCTCTCTTTTTTGTCCTGATCCATTTCTATAAAAACCTGTCTGAAAATGAGCAGATTTTGGCCACTTTATGATGTCATAATGATGTCTTGGCTTGTGTAACCATTAGCCAATCACCAACCAAGGTAACACCCCCCCCCCCCCCCCCCCCCCCCCCCCCCCGTTCATCTTTCAATTAGAAGGTTGTGGGTTCGATCCCTGCCAGTGCAGAAAACATGTCGATGTATCCTTGGACAAGATACTGAACCCTGAGTTGCTCCCGATGGCCAACGGTGTGTGAATGTTAGCTCTGTATGAATGAGGTGTGAATGATGAATGGTAGTAAGGCTACTGAGGGGTCGTAAAGACTGGATAAAGCGCTATATAAGTACAGTGTGTGAGTGTGTGTGAGTGCTAGCTTCCCTATAGCAAGTGATACTATCCTGGCTCCAAGATGGTGGAATGAGCTCCCCATTGACATCAGGACGGCAGATAGCTTGCACATCTTCCGGCGCAAACTGAAAACTCATCTCTTTCGACTCCACTTCGAGCGATAGAACGATTAACGAAGCACTTTTATACCAATAAAGGACTGGATTACCTAAAGCCAGTTGAGTAGCACTTGAAATGTTTGTTTTTTCTTCAAGGTTGTGTCTTCCTGGTCGAATGTACTTATTGTAAGTCGCTTTGGACAAAAGCGTCAGCTAAATGCAATATAATGTAATGTAATGTAATGATACTGCTCTGTATGAATGAGGTGTGCATTTGGGAATGACTTGTAGTATGTAAAGCGCTTTGATGGGTCGTAAAGACTGGATAAAGCTGGATATACGGTAAGTACAGTCCATTTACCATTTGATGCTAGTTAGCAACCCAAAACAGCTGAGACCTCCATGAAGATACAGACCAGAGGTCATTTAGAAATGTATTCTGTTACAGTTACTAGTTACCTGTCAAAAACTGTAACCAGCAGCTTAATCTGAGTATCAAATTATAAAATAAAAGTAATGCTATCTGATTACTTTCCGTTATAAACGCAAAGCAAATTTATAAAAGAGAGAAGAAATATATATAAAATG